AGCGATCCTCCCGCCTCCGCCTCCCAGAGTGCTAGGATTACAGGCATGAGCCACCACGCCTGGTCGTAATTTTGTCTTTCGACAGTTCATAGACAGTTTCAGTTTTTCAAGATGAAAAGGTTCTGGAGACTGGTTGCACAACAATGTAAATAACACTGCTTCACTATATCCTTAGAAATGGGTAAGATGGTGCATTTTATGTTATGCGTATTTTACCACAATTTTTTAAAAAACTGCCCTGAAACTTACTGGTTCCAAACAGCAACAATCATTTTATCATCTCTCACATTATCTGCGGGTTAAGCATTCAGGAAGGCTCAGCTGGCTGGTTTTGGCCTGGGACTTCTCATGTGGTGGCAGACCAGACAGCTAGAACTCGAATCTTGGGTGCTATCTTAGAATTTTGCCTATGCACTCCCTCTCCCCTGGGGCCATGTTTATGATTACCCTGACAATATAATGACCAGACATTGAAATATTTGGAAGAACTCAAGAATTACCATATTTATACATTTATTAGGTTAATAAGAAAACCTAACTACTTGGAAACATGTGCCAGACAGCTGAAGAATTTAAGAAAATCTAGTATATTTAATTTTATAAATGTAGGTTCTAGATTTAATAGCCTGTAGATCCTGATAGGGTGGAATGGTGTTAGAGTTTGGGCACTAAAGGTTGGGTTTGAAAGATGGGAGGTGTTAGCTGGGAATTACGATAAAATTGATAACTAGTATGTGGCACCTATGACAAACCAGTTGCTTTATAGACATTGCCTTATTGAATTTAGGATAGGAATTATTATCCCTATTTCAAAGATATGGAAACTGAGCCAAAGTCAAGTATATTGTGCAAGGTCAAAGTACAGATAAGTACTCCAAACTGAATTTTTAGGTTACACTATCTTAAAACCACCCTCCCACCCCCCAGAAACCCTGAATAAGTCCCTTGTTCCTACGTTACTTTATACACTAATTAGCACTTATAACTCGTTTATATCCATTTAAAAAAAATATACACCAAGGCCTGGTGCAGTGGCTCGCGCCTGTAATCCTAGCACTCTGGGAGGCCAAGGCAGGATTGCTTGAGCTCAGAGTTCAAGACCAACCTGAGCAAGAGCGAAACCCCATCTCTACTAAAAATAGAAAAACTAGCCAGGCGTGGTGGCACCTGCCTGCAGTCCCAGATACTTGGGAGGCTGAGGCAGGAGGATCACTTGAGCCCAGGAGGTTACAGTGAGCTATGATTGTGGTTCCAGACCCCGTCTCTAAAAAAAAAGGTTGACTGTGGAGACCAAGTCATGGAGCTTGACCTCTTAATTATAACCTTATGTTACAATGCCATTTAAACTGCTAGGGGGTTTTGGTCTAGGTCCAGTTACTGGCTTCAGAGAGTCAATTACTGAGACAATGAGGAGGATTGCCAAAGAAGAAAGGAATTTTTAATACCAAAGATGTCTATTGTGAGAACAGGGAATCAGTCTGAAGTCCCTCTCCCCAACTAATGGGGAGTTGGATTTTTTAAGGAGGGGCTACGAGTATTGGTGCAGGTTGTGGGGGGATAGTGTGTCTTGGTGGTGGAAAGTCTGCCCAGGAGCCTTCAGAATCTCAGCTCCTTGTCTTGCAGAAATTTTACCATTTTCAGGGAAATAACTCAGAAAGGTCCAGTAGTTAGTTAAAAGTTTCAGGATTCTGGTCATCACGCCTTACTGGCCTGAGAAGCTGAAACATGAGGGAGAGGATTATAAAAAAATATATAGGAATCATTGAAATTTGTTCATAGATTGACTTCCTTATTTTCTTGTTCCCAGCTCAGGCCAGATGGCCTTGAGATAAAAGACCCCTTTATTTCTACATCCTTAATGTGGATGTTAAATGTCTTTCCCCCAAAAGAAACACTGCCTATAATTAAATTGCTGTGACTATGCAGTAAACTTGTATGGAAAACAGATTAATCCTGTTAATCTCACCCAGACTTTGCCTGTATAAACGACCCTCAAACCTCCCCACTTTGGAGCACCATGGGGTCTGTGTCCTTTCGGAGGGCCATCTGCGCAAACTTTGCTCTCCAATAAACTCAGTATTTAATCGTATTGCCTGAATCTCATCATTAAGGTTGACAGTTCAATGTCATCTCTGAGAGCCTTCCCTGACCACCCCTACCACTCTGTAGCCCCATATCCTGCTTTATTTTTCTCCAAAGCATTTATCATCGCCTGATTTACATTTATTTTTGTTTCGGCTTTCCTCAATAGAACGTAAACACCAAGAAGTCAGGACTTTGTCTATCTCATTCACCATTCTATTTCACAACACCCTTGATACCATGTCTCAGTAGGAGCTCCTTAAATAGTTGCAGAATTGAACAGCCTCATAAGCGACCACGTGGGCATCCCCGTGGGGCCATAAGCCGCGCCATTTTTTTTGCCAGGATTGGCTGGAGTCTCTGTAACGTGACCGGCAGTCGGCGGCCCGCCTTCGAAGATCGGGAGATCCACTGGGGCCCGCGTTCCGCGCAGGAGCTACTGCGCAGGCGCGGGCCACGGCGCAGGCGCAGAGTGGCCCGGGCGCGCTGCTGGCGGCGGTTGGTGGCGCGCGGCGCCGGCGAGCGGTTGGCGTGAGCGGGACCGAGAGGAGGCAGCCAGAGCCGGCGCCATGGTGGAGAAGGAGGAGGCCGGCGGCGGCATCAGCGAGGAGGAGGCGGCTCAGTATGACCGGCAGATCCGCCTGTGGGGATTGGAGGCCCAGAAACGGTCAGGGCCGGCGCGGCTTGCGGCGCCAAGGGTCTTGAGGGGGCGTCTGGTCTGAGGCGTTCGCGGCCCTGAGGGAGTGGGAAGGTCTGATTTGAAGAGAGAAGGCGGCAATTAATGTACCCAGGGATTGTAGCGCTTTTTAAAGGACTGCGGGGGGGTTGATTGTGTATGCTTCTGGAAGGTACGGGCAGTGGGGACGTCCCAGGAAGGTGGGAGGGCCGTTCCGAGGGATTGGAAGCCTCTGACTCGGGCGTGGGGAAGTCCTGAGGCAGGAGGGGGATTCAAATTCAGGGAATCGGACGCCCGAAAGTGGTGTTGGTGGGGTTTAGGTCGCGGGTGGGGGTTAAGGAAATAAGGAGCCAGAGATACCTGGAAAGGGTGAAGGAGGCGCGTAGTGCATTCATTCGTATATAATGGGAACCTGTTGTGCGCAGGATGCGGGGGAGCCTGGCCAAGCCGACAGACGTGGGCTTACGTTCTTGTGGCTTCTGAACGGCGGGCCGGTCTGAAGGAATGCGGGTTTTGAGTTTTGGAGCAAGTTTTCTCAAATGTTAATCTTGAGAGGCTCCGAGGGTCTGCGGCGGGGCTGGAAGTATCAGGAAAGGTTGCTGTGTCGAGGTGTTGGGGGCGTGTCCAGATCGGAGGAGACGGAGGCTGAGCACTGTGCAGTAGGCGGGGTATTGAGGAGTACTTCGTTATCCGAGGGGACGAGGTCTCTGAAAGAGGGGATCGATTCGATCAAGTAATTATTTAGCACCTACCACAGGCGTTGTTCTAGGCACTGAGCATTTGTCAGTGAACCAGACAGGCTTCTTCCCCATATGGCGCTCACATTCCGATGGGGGAGACAACAAACCTAAATAATACGTGAGGTAATACAAGTGCTAGGGGGGAAAATGGAGCAAAAATACTGCTTGATCAATAAAAGATGGTGAAGTGGGAGAGCTTTTTTGATAGGGTGGCCAAGGAAGGCTTCTGAAGAGGTAACACTGAGCCTCAGACCTGTCTGAAGGGAAAGAGCCCTGTGGCTGTCTGGAAGAACTTTCCTAGCGAAATGAACAGCAAGTGCAAAATCCCAGAGGCCCAGGCATGCTTGGCAAATCAGAGAAATCGGGTGGTTGGAACCTAATGAATTGAGGAATAGCTTTTATTCTGAGTGAGCTACGAAACCCATTGAAGTGTTTTGAGGTTAGGAGTAACATAAGCTGCTTGGATTTTGAAAGGATCACTCTTGCTCTGTGGAGAATAGGTTCAAGTGGGCAGAATTAGAAGTAAAGATTCC